GACATGCCGCTACAGCGTTCTCAGCTTTTCTCAGGACGAGTGGCTATTCACTCGGGAAGCTTGAAAGGACACATTTTTTTTTCTGTGCTGCATTACTAGGGAGACTAATTCCGAGCCGCAGCCACTGCCAGGGAGAGCTTGGACTTGCTATTCAGACCCCAAGGCCGTTGAAATCTGTAAAGTGGCTACATCTAAACGAATCCAGGCTGCGGGTGACATGTGAGAGCCGGGGTCTGGTTCTCATCTGTCTGACCGAGGGGGGCTGCGTGGGCATCCTTTCCACTGGAAAGTCTTCTGGTTCCATTAGGCGGAGTCCCTTGTTTTCTCCCTCCTTCCCTCCCTTCTCCCCTCCCTCCCTTCCTCTCTCCCTCCCCTTCACTTTATTCCTCATGTGTGTGTTTGAATGGTAACAGTGATAGAGTGCACCTCTTTTTTTAAGAATATATTTTTGCCGAAACCCGTTTGGCTCAGTGGATTGAGCGTTGGCCTGCGGACTGAAAGGTCCCAGGTTCGATTCTGGTCAAGGGCATGTACCTTGGTTGCGGGCACATCCCCAGTAGGGGGTATGCAGGAGGCAGCTGATGGATGTCTCTCTCTCATCGATATTTCTAACTCTCTATCCTTCTTCCTTCCTCTCTGTAAAAAATCAAAATATTTTTTTAAAAGGAATATATTTTTTATTGATTTCAGAGAGGAAGGGAGAGGGAGAGAGAGGTAGAAATGTCAATTATGAAAGAGAATTATTGATTGGCCGTCTCCTGCACACCCCATGCTGGGGATGTAGCCCGCAACCGGGCATGTGCCCTGATGGGGGAATCAGACAATGGCCTCCTGCATGGTCCTGATAGGCATTCAGGTCAGTTTTGGGAATTATTTTACAGGAAAACCCCTTCCCCCACCTCTCCCTGAATTCCAGCCTCCTCTGTGGACTGGGCTCTTTCAGAGTTCCTGAGCTGGAGAAGTGGGGACAGAATGGGAGGGTGTCACCGAGAGAACCACTAAACTAAGCAGTCTGTTCCCTCCAGGAGGCAGGCGCTCAAATCCTTTTGTGAACAAAAGGCAGCTGTTAGATTTATTGGGTTATATTTTAGAAATATGTTTTATGTAGACTTGTATTCAAGATGCAGGCCATTTTCGAGAAAGCGCTCCCGGGTTCGCGCGGTAGAACTGTAGATTTGTTCTTGAGGGAACTTGCATGGTGGGCCATGTTTCCAGCAGCCTGCGCCACCTCAAGAAGAGAGGTATTCAAGCCCTCGTGTTCAGGCCGAGTCTTAATTCCCACTCAGATTAACGGGGTATGTGTGTACTTGATTCCTGTTGAACAGGGATTTGCAGAGGTGAAAGGTCTCCTGCCTTGGGAAGCATGGGCCCTTTATTTCTAGCTGTCTCCCTTACCCAGTTCTCCCCTTTGCGTCCATGTCCATAGTCCTGCCACGCCTCCTGAGGACGGAGGGCTAATCTTATACCTCAGGATGATTCTTAGGTTTGAGTTGGCCTGTGTTCTACCAGGCAGAGCAGTATGGGCTTGGAAGGGAATTTTTTAGCAGACTTGATTGGAAAACTGACTTTATCCATCATATGAAATGTAAGCTGCTCTTTAAAATATATATATATTTTAAATATATTTTTATTGATTTCAAAGAGGAAGGGAGAGGGAGAGCTAGAAACATCAATGATGAGAGAGAATCATTGATCGGCTGCCTCCTGCACACCCCACCATAAGTGTTGGTGACTATCATTATTACTGGGCTCAAGCCTGCAACCCGGGCATGTGCCCCAACCGAGTTGACTGGGAATCAAACCACGACTGCCTGGTTCATAGGAACCAGTTGCCTAATGGTGCATAAATATACAAGGCACCTGCACCAGGGTCTCAAAACATGCCCTTCCTCTCCCTCCACCTCATACAGAGCACCAAATGGGAGTCTGACAGAGGCACAGGAAAGACATGGCAGTGGCTTAAAGGAAGAAGAGCCACCCTGTACACATCATGTAGCACATAGCACGGCACTGCATCTGCTGTCAGAGGGGTCATCGATGGGCAGGATGGTTTGGAAGAGGCTAAATGGAGGACATCGGTTTGGAGCAGATCTTTGGAGCAAAGATGGAAGAAAGGAGCATAAATTAGACATCTCAGAAGGGAAAAGATGATGTTTCTCACTGTAAGGTAGAAAGATGGTTTTTATATAGGAAACAGTATACAAGAGTGTGGAAGTCACCTGGAGAGTTCGTGTTATGGATGCTGAGCAGTAAGACAACTGATAGGAGTAAGGCAGAGGGGCAGGTCACAGACTCTAATGGACTTGGGTTTGAAGAGCTGGGCACTAATGCTAGTTGTGAAGGGTGAGGCATCTCAATCAAGAAAACATGGAGAAAAGATTCAGCATGGTGAATTTAATAGGTTAAAGTATTGGGTGAAACACGTTGTACAAATAAAGGATAAAGAAATGTGTTATAAAAATAGTTCGTGTGGGGGGAAATCATCTGGGAGCACATAATAGTATTTTGTGGCTTTAAAAAAAAAAAAGTGAACACAGTGTCAGGCTGCAGTAGTGGAAACATCGTGTCCAGAAGGTGATGATCCAGCTCTGTGCTATTCCAGAAAGAACATATGTGTCACGTTTTTTTGTTTGTTTGTTTTTTCTATTTCGGGCCCCACGCTTTAAACAGGTTTTAGAAGGACTAGAATCATCCAGTTGGGGGAGCAGGATAGTTCCTCTGCTACCTAATAGCTTAATCTTTCTAAGCTTCAAGGACCTAAGCTTCAAGGTCCTCTACAGAGTGCAGATCGCAATATAATATACTCTATGAAGGAGTAATAAAAGCTGCAAAATGCTTAGCAGATACATACTACATAGTAAGTGCTTAAAAAAGTTGATGACTATCATTATTATTATTGTTATCTTAAGCATGAAAGAGCTACTAAAATAGTGAGGAAGTCCAGAAATAATTTCATTCATAATTAATATATTTTTATTGATTTCAGAGAGGAAGGGAGAGGGAGAGAGAGATAGAAGCATCCATGAGAGAGAATCATTGATCAGTTACCTCCTCTCACCCCACAACCCAGGCATGTGTCCTGACCAGGAATCGAACCATGACCTCCTGGTTTATAGGTCGATACTCAACTGCTGAGCCATGCTGGCTGAGCCAGAAATAATTGTATACTGAGGAATAGGCCAAACCAATGAATCCTGGAAAAAAGAAAACAAAGGGTCAACTATCTTTGGATTCTTGAAGGCATTCTGTAAGAGAGCAGAGGTTTGTTCTTTTTGTTCTAGAGGACAGGGATAACCAAAAGGTGAAAATTGTAGGGAGGCAGAATTTAAAGAAAAATAAAAGATAGCTGAGACGGGTTTGGCTCTGTAAATACAGCGTCGGCCCGCGGACTGAAGGGTCCCGGTCAAGGGCATGTACCTGGGTTGTGGGCACATCCCCAGTGGGGGGTGTGCAAGAGGCGGCTGATCGATGGTTCTCTCTCATCGATGTTTCTAGCTCTCTATCCCTCTCTCTTCCTCTCTGTGAAAAATCAATAAAATATATATATATATATATATTTTTTTTTAAAAAGATAGTTTACATACTATTAAATTCAGTCTTTTAAAGTGTGTAATTTTAGTATATTCACAGTTATGTGTAACCATTACCATGATCTAATTTCTAAATATTTTCATTGACTCCTCCCCTACCCCAAGAAACTAGTCCTTAGTAGTCATTCTCCATTACCTCCACTTCCCAGCTCCTGGCTGCACTACTCTATTTTTAAAAATCTCTATGCATTTGCCTATTCTGGACATTTCCTAAAAATGAAATCATACAATTTGTGGCCTTTTGTGCCTGCCTAGCTTATTTTACTTAGCATGATGTTTTCAAGGTTTATCCAGGTGGTAACATGTATCGGCTCTTTATTCATTTTCATGGCCAGATAATATTCCATTGTTGGGATATGCCACATTTTATTTATCCATTTATCAGCTATGGACTTTTGGATTGTTTCTACTTTTTGGTATTGTGAACAGTACTGATATGAATGTCTTTACAAATTTTTGTATGGACCTCTCATATTTTTAGCTACCTGTAGGGAGGCAGAGATTTAAGATATCAGGAAAAGATTTCTGACAATGGGATCTGCCCACACTGAAGACTGTTCTCTTGTTGAAGTAGTGAGCCAGTGATCTTATTTTACTTTTTAAAATGCATGCTGTTTTACTATGTACTAATATCATTCTAATTGCTTTATAATTATTGAAGAGTCCGATGAGGTAGGCATGATTATTAAATCCATTTTATAACAAAGAGGGTTTAGTAACTTGCTCAAGATCACTCATTGAATAAATGGGGAACTGGGACTAAAATAGAGGTGGTCTGGTTCTGGAGTCTGTACTCTTAATTGCAGGAATAATAATTTCAACATTTATTATATTTCCACTACCGGTCTTGATATGGCTTCTTCTTTAAATCCCTATTTGTGGGACTTACAGTCAGCTAGATTTCAGGTGATTCTGAAAGATGTTTGTTCTGTAGTTTAGTTGTAATTTTGATGTGGTTGTGGGAAGATGGGTACTGCATTTAGCTATGCCACCATCTTGACCGGAAGTCCGGTATTTTATATATTTTAAATAGGAGAGGAATTTAAACAGATAAATATCAACAATGCTGCATAAAAAGGTGCTATTACACCATACCAGTCTGTATGTACATGCAAAAAAAAAAATCTCTAGTTGTAATTTGCTTTCAATAAAATTCCTGCTGACTGGCCATGGCAGACCACGCTGATTCACCACCTAGTATTCTGTCACCAGCCCGGACTCAAAAAGACATGGGAATGTGTGGTTGGCTTTTCTAAGCACTTCTCCTCAATCAAGGAAGTTTTGCAGTTGCATCTGCAGGCCTTTGGATTCTCAGTCTAGTGCTTTCTTGACTGGAATGCATGATCTTATAAGTTTTTTTTATCTGTAAAAAGTCAAGTGTTTTCATGGACTACTCTCTTTTCCACGCAGATGTCCAGAGGGCTTCTTGGGAGAATATTGTGAACATCGAGACCCCTGTGGGAAGAACCGCTGCCAGAATGGTGGGACATGTGTGGTCCAGGCCATGTTGGGGAAAGCCACATGCCAGTGTGCTCCGGGGTTCACAGGCGAGGACTGCCAGCACTCGACCACTCACCCCTGCTACGCATCTCCCTCCTGTCTGAATGGAGGCACCTGCCATGTGCTCAGCCAGGATGATTATGAGTGCACCTGCCAAGTTGGCTTTGCAGGTATCCAGTGGGACTCAGGCCCACACTCTCCTATTCTCAGTATGTGTCTTTATTTAGCATCTTTTAGCTCTTGACATCTGCCTCTTAAGGTCCCCCAACTTGGTGCATACTTAACATTATGGTAAGAAACCGGAATGTTCTGGACAACTATTTTTAGCTTTTTTTTTTGAGAGAGAGAGAGAGAGAGAGAGAGAGTTTTAAGAGAGGAGAAAGAGAAATAAATACTCAGAAGCATTTGACTATTTAAAGTATACCTGTCAGAATTGGGGACCAGAATCACCTCACTATTGCCAGCTGAAAAGCTGTTCATGCTATTAATTACTTGCATCTTGAAATCTCCTCTCCCTGGACATCCAAGGCATTGGCTGTTCTGACTTATCTGAACTCTGATTATTCCCTTTTCTTCTGCATTGCTTTGTCCTCATCCATTGCATTTTTGTGTTCCTCGGAATTCTGTTTTGAGACCTCTTTCAAGTCTTACTGCAGCTCTCCCCAGGTAATCTCTGTTTTGGATGGCTTTAACTGTTCTTCATCTTCATCACTTGCTGATGACTCTGGTAATCATCTTTTTTGCTCCACCCTGACCCTGACATTCAGTCTCATATTTCTAACTATGTATTGCATATTATCCTTGGAAATTCAACGGGTACCTCAAACTCAGCATGTTGATATAAATTGTGGTACACTCCAAGTACTTCAAGCTAGAAACTCCCTCTCCCTGGCCTTATCTCCCCTAGACTCAGTCACCCAATCCACCCTCTAAATTCCCTCTCATCTGTCTAGTCCCTCTCTATTGCTCTCCTACTCTCCAATTGAGGTTCCTGTCTTGTCCCACCTGGACTCCCACAGTCATTTCCTAACTGGTCTTCTTGCCTTTATCATCTCCCCATCTTGTGCACCGGTCACATTGCCATGCTTTTTATTATCAGTGCAAATCCACTTATAAAGTCCCCTGAGTACAATGCCCAGTGAGTTCCTGTCATCCACAAGGAAAGCTGCAGACATTTCCACTTGGTCCCCATCGCCCTTCACAGTCTAGACCTTACATCTTCTTTAAGCCTCACCTCCCCACAAGCATGTAGCTTTCGTCATGCCATCACTCGCATCATTTCCTGAAGATGTCATACTTCCTATTGCCTTCATGTTGCACACCCCCCTTGCCGGGAATGCCCTTTTCTATAATTGGCGATTGCCTAATGTTATTTAAAACTCTGTCTTCCTGGCCCTTTCCTGAGTCCTGTAAGCAGTTTGTCTCCATGTTCTATTATTTTATGTGTCACAATTTTTTGTAATTAATTTCATGTCTCTCATCTGACTGGATTATGGGTTCTTCAAAGGTAGGTCTGAGCTTTATTCGAAATGAACCTTAAGTGATTATTAAGTTAGATGAGAAAAGGAGAACCATTTTGTCCCTGACAACACCAATGATTCGGTAAGTCTAATAAGCAAAAAAATGAAAAACATACTCAGAAAACTAGACTGGATCAGTTAGTTTGGAATTCTTGGTCTATTGATTTTTCATTAAAGGGTGTTGGTAAGGGTAGGAAAAGGTTGGGATGACCCATTATCTCCATCATGACCGCGATAGCAGTGATGCCACGAGTCACTGAAGAGATCTGGTGGTTAAGAGAATACGGTGAAACCTCTCAGTTTTTGAACATCTCCCACCTTGAACAATTCAGTTCCGACCAAGTGGTTCAGGGAACAAAATGCCTCAGTTGTTGAACAAAACTTCCCTTCTAGACCTGGCAACCTTTTCATGCCAATATATCAGCATGACAAAAATCGTCTCTCAGGCCACAAACAAAGGAGAGAATGCGAGTGGTGTACAGGACAACACTCCTGACCAGGAGCCACCTGGCCTGGACAGTAATGCCTTCTTTATCATTTAAATGTTACTCTGAAATGACCCCCAAATTAAAACACCTTCCTTTGTCATGAAAAGGATTTCTCCTTGGTGTTCTGCAGGGTTCTGGTCATCTCTGCACACCTGCCACTTTTGTGTGTCACAGGTCAAGTTCACCCTTTTGGTTTTGTGATGGCACTATACCCTTCCTAGTCAGATTTTATTAGCTAATCTCCACTCTTAGAGGAAGAAACAGAGGCAGGAAGTTAATGTCCCTAGTACGTCACGTTGATGGGAAACCAAGTTCAGGGACCCTTCTATTTCATTTGTGGGCAAACGCTTGGTACACATGGTTGTGAGAAGGAACCATTTTAACCTCCTCTCTCCTGTAGGTAAATGTCTCTCATTGGGATGAAGAAAAAGTAGGAAGAAAAGCAGTAGCTTTTGCATTTTCTCTCAGCTTAGCACCCTGAGTCTATGCATTGTGCCCACATTTTTATTGCACTGTTCTCTTTGATTTACAACCCGTGATGGGCGGAGAGCACTTTTGTGTGCTCACGTGTCACCTTTCTCTTTTAGAAAAGCTGTTATGACCCCATTTGCTTCCCTATGGGGGTCAAAGACTTGGATGTTTACTTTGACACCAGTTGGAGTGTTACAAATTCAGTGGGTTCTCACATCTTTTGTTTAAAAAAAAAAAAAAAAAAAAAAAAAAAAAAAAAAAAGCTTAAGCTGATGACAATAAAAAGCCACATGAATACCAAATTTATTAGTAAATATGAGTGTTTTTCCCTCTTTCTACCTCTCTCTGTTTTGCTTCCTTGGAGTCATGCCTTAGTGTTCAGCACGCGGCAGCCTTCCTGCTTCTCCTGGGGCTTTCCTACTGAGAGAGTGCACAAGAGTTACCTTTCTAGACTCTTAGTCTCGTGACAGCTTCTAGTTTTGTGTAGTTTTCATATACAAGGAGTCAGAGATTCTTCATCCTCTTCAGACACACCAAGCAACATTGATAGCCAGACCACATTTAGTAAAATGTTGCCCAGAACATGTGTGCATGTGTTGTGTTTAAAGGAAAAAGGAGTGCTGTTGACTTGTTTATCTCTTCCAAGAGGTCTATTTAGTAATTATAGATGGTGAAAGATGTCAATGCATTTTATTCACGCAAAGGGCTGAGGGATTCTCTATGCAGTAACCGCCTGGTGTCACCTATTCGGTGGAAGGTGTGGTGGGTGGGGAGGATGGGGCCGACCCCCGTTCCCGTGGGCAGAACCGAGCTCTGTCCCCCTTCTTCCAGGTAAGCTGTGCCAGTGGACGGATGCCTGCCTGTCTCATCCCTGTGCAAATGGAAGTACCTGCACCACCGTGGCCAACCAGTTCTCCTGCAAATGCCTGCCAGGCTTCACGGGGCAGAAATGTGAGACTGACATCAACGAGTGTGACGTTCCGGGACAGTGCCAGCATGGTGGCACCTGCCTCAACCTCCCGGGCTCCTATCAGTGCCAGTGCCCCCAGGGCTTCACCGGCCAGCACTGCGACAGCCCCTACGTGCCCTGCGCACCCTCGCCCTGTGTCAATGGAGGCACCTGCCGGCAGACCGGCGACTTCACTTTTGAGTGCAACTGCCTTCCAGGTGAGGAGTCCCCCGGTGTCCTGGGCCTGGGAGATGCACCTGCTGCACAGAAGGGGAGGGAGGGTGTGGGTGTGGCCGGGTGGCTCCTGTAGGAAGTATCCTTCCCAGCAGGGGAAAGGGGAAGTGAAAATTTGGTGTGAGGTGGGTTACTGGTGAGGGAGGAGTGTTTATGGGCCCCGGGTGGTGTGTAACCGGAGCAGGGGGTAATCTCCCATGTCAGGGTTTATGATGATGTGTGACTAGGAAGCTGTTTATTGTCCTTTTTGGAGAAACGGTGAGAAATGAGAGAAACAGCTGTGGGAAAGGTATAGACAAGTCCACGGGATGGAAAGGCACACAAGAGAATTAGACATTGAAAAAAACGGGTGTGATTAATGAAGTGCTTTAAAGTGAATTGACCATAATAGGCGATCAAGTTTTCTATTTGCTTTTACCTCTAAAAAAAAAATTCCCATCTATGCTTTTGTGATTTTCCCTGGCTTCTGGCCCTCAGAACCCTCTCCCCGTCTCTGGCTTTGGGATAACCCACCCTGGCCTGAAGCTAGAGAATTTGGGAACTGGGGTGGGGCGTAGCGCTCTCTTCATCAACAAGCACTGTATGATGAGCACGGATAGATTACATGTGACACAATCCTGCACACCCTCAAGACAGAAACAGAAAGGGGAGCCGTGCGTGGGAGCGTGGGGCCCAGCGTTCTGCAGAGGTGGAGAAAGCAGCAAGCCGGCCAATTCACTGAACTCCTTACCAAAAACCATGAGGAGGCTGAAAACCGAGAATCCTGATTGGGAACAGAACACACGCAGCTGGCGCAGATGAATTACTAAGCAACAAAGATTCTGTTTTCATACAAATATCCTCGGGACAAACACAAGAGTAATGTGCAAAGTAAGCAGGATTGCCTCAAGAAGAAGTTGGTCTCACTACTCTTTGGGAATGGGGGGCCTTAGATTCCGGTGCTGAGGACACAGCTCCCACGCAATGAGATTGTGTGTTTTATTCTTGGGGGACTGAAGGTCATATGTTGGTCCCCATGATACAACCCAATGGTAACTTACTCATGTCACTCAGTAAAAATGTATTGACCGCCACCTATGTCCCAGGCACTGTGCTGTGTGCTTGGAATACAATGGTACAGGACACGGCAATGGAATAGATAGCTTTCACTATTTCACTAAGCAACATGATAGATATCTATTTCAGTAAGCCCCCAGAGTAAGCTGCTATTGCCTTGCTTTCAGTTTCTCTCTCCATGAAGACTAGACAGTGCTATCGTGGCAGACACTACGTGAACTTTTATTGACATAACACTACTATCGCTTTCATCATCTTGTATAAAGCACAATGGAAAGATACTTCCTTCACGCCTGTTTTTACTGTAAGGGGTTAAGGGAGAACATTAGGCATGTAAACAACTTTAATTTTACAAGTATTCCAATAGTCTGATGTCCTAATCGTCTGCTCGTGTAAGTGGCTAGTAATTGAGGTTAGTGTGATTTATTGTCGGAGGCTAAATGTGTTTTCCAGCTTCAAGAGAATGGCTTTTAATAGTCGCCTAGAACAAGAGGGTGACTTGGCAGCAGAACGCTGACGGGAAGTTCGAGAAGTCAATAAAGGAAGTTTTCAGCCAGGAGAGAGTGATTACTCACTCCCATAGTCTCTGCATTGTTATCCATTAGCCACGATAAGAACCTCAGGGAATTCTGCGAGTGCGTCCAGGAAAGGATCTGTCAAACCAGAATAGTATCTCCTCCTTGAGAAAGGAAATAACCAGGGATTCCACCGCGGAGAGGCTGCCAGGGCCAGGGGGATGGAGCGAGGAGGACTTGGCTCTCCCTTACACACTGCTTGTCGCTTAAAGCAAGACGTTTATTTACTCACTGATGAAGTGTGTGTGAGGGTGTGTGTGGGGGGGGGGGGGGATGTGGGGGGAAAGGGGGAGACTTGGCGGAGAGAAAAGTAACATTTATTGAATGCCTTTTATGGATCAGGCACTGTGCCAGGTTCCTCTGCATCCATTACCTCGTTGACACAAAACCTTGGGGACAGGCATTGTTTTTCCAGTTTTCCCAGGTTTGGAGATGTCAGGTGACTTACCCAAAGGTGCACAGCTGACTCGTGGTCAGGCTGTGTCCTGAGACCCAGGTAGGCGCTTTCCGAAGCCTGCACTTTTGCCTCTGGCTGCAGCACCTCACACTGCTTGTCTCCCCCTGATGGTGCTTAGGATATGTAGGAAGCTTTTGTTAAATGCTTCGAGGCATTCGAGTTAAAAGGGAAAGTAGGGTCTTGTTATAAGAAAAAGAGATACCTCTAGTTTTGAATGACTAGTATTTGTCACGTATCAGCCTATGTATGACATCTGGCAGACATTTAAAAATAGTCAGGTACACTAGTTCTCGCCTTTCAGGATCCCATGATTGATAAAACAGATGACATCAGCGTGGACGATGTATAGAAGGAAGTTAAAAAAGAAAGCAAAACAATAGATGATGCAGTAACACTGTGAATAAATAGATATTTACACAGTTTTGTAAGATTTTTACATTCGTTGTTTTTATGTCCTAGGTGGAGTGTAGAAAATATTAGCTTTATTTTTACATGGGAAATGGTGCCTGGAAAATCATTTTCTTTTAGAAGATCATGGATAAGGTGTTTGTTTGTTTTTTGTGTTTTGGTTTTTTTTTAAAGCAATACCATTCTCCTTGCCCTTCCCTCCCTTGCCCTCCACATTACTCTACATGACTAAAATGTGACTTTAAACAATAATCACTATCTCCATGTAAATAACACCCTTATTTGAGGAGAATCAATATTTCACTTCTAAAACTGGGGGAAACTGAGTTAGCAGGAGGCAGAGCTTGTGAAGGGATCCCGTGACTCCCAGGTGGCTGCTCCCTGCCCAGCTCACATCTTTGCACATCCAATGGAGGCCTCCCCTGATCACCAATTTCAAATGTTAGCCCTCCCCAAAGTCCCCTCCATTACTGGCCCTGGTCTACTTTTTTTTTTTTTTCCTTTCTCTATAACACTTAACATCTTCTGACTGTATAATATGCAGTATCTAGTTTACTTCATATGTCTACTGCTTATTGTCTGTCTTCTCCAAATTCTGCTCCCTCCTCCCCTCTCCAGAGTGAAAGCTAGGGTCTTTGTTTTTGTTAGTGATGCATCCCAAACACCTAAAAACAGTGCCAGGTACATAACAGGCTCACAGCTACTTCCTGAGTTCAGGATAATATCACAGTATTGGGCATGTAACTTTGGTCTTACCATTTTCTTTTTTAATGTTTTATTGATTTTTTTACAGAGAGAAAGAGAGAGGGATAGAGAGTTAGAAACATCGATGAGAGAGAAACATTGATCAGCTGCCTCCTACACATCCCCCACTGGGGATTTGCCCACAACCAAGGTACATGCCCTTGACCGGAATCGAACCTGGGACCTTTCAGTCCACAGGGCAACGGTCTATCCACTGAGCCAAACCGGTTAGGGCTGGTCTTACCGTTTTCTTCCTGGTATTTTGCATCTTAGACTTCGTTTGACTCCTCCTTTTGTTCGTGGGTTCTCTAACCCTGGAGAAGAAGTTTAGAGTGTTCTTCACTCTGAGAGTCAGTGAACCCCACATAAGTTAGTGATTATATTGGAATGGTTTAATTATAGTTCCTGCCTGCAAAGGGCACTATTGTTTCCATGTGTTGGTTTTGGTATTATTGTAAGACTCCTGGGGGGAGAATTAAAACTGCAGAAATGACTCATCTTGTGTGACAAAGAAGTATTTCTCTGTAGAGGGGAGGAAAAATAATATATTCAAGAGGGAACTAATAGACGTAAACCAAGGAACCCATAGTTTGTCTTCTCCTTGGATCAGCAAACATTGATCCAAATCTTCATGAGCTACCACTCTGCCAGGATAATTTTAACGTAAGAACAAAATGGAAAATAAATTAATGAATCATTGACTCTGAGTATTTGGGGGTCAGGGCCAACTGGCGGGGAGAGAATGAGGCAGGCTGGTTTGGTGTTTGTGGACACTGTAAAAAGTCATGCAGGAAGTCAGAAAGCAGCGGGTTGTTTGAACCTCCTGGCTGTGCCTTGTGAGCTCACAGCTGGATTGAACAGTCCTCAAGGTTCTTTCCCCTTGTCTTTCTCTCCCACCCCTTTTTATTCCTCTGCAGCTATTTATTTATTTATTTATTTATTTATTTATTTATTTATTTTAACTTCAGAAAAAGATGTCTGATCTGTCCTCTCCAATCAGTGAACATGTCTCCTTTGTAAACCACCCCCTATACTTCGCAGAGCGATTATGTGTCATATCCCCATATCATCGAAATAAGCTTACACACATTTCGTGGCTTTGTGTCTGCTCTGTTGTTGCTGAGCTTAAAAACCGTTGGCACGAATTCCTCCCACATTCTCGCAGGGGCACGTGACGTCCTCCGGGCATCGCCATAGTCACATCCTGGCAGGTTTCTCTGGAGCAGATGCAGACGTCTGCTCATGCCACTTTTCAGGGTGCAGTATTTCAGCTCCTTTGACTCGGGCCCCGAGGCCGATTCCCTCGATATTCCTGGAAGTGTTTCCTGCTCTCCCACGCTCGCTCAGTGGTTTTGTCCATGCTGTCTCCTCAGCTTTCTGTCACCTTCCCTCTCTCCCTACACCCACCTTTTTATATAGAACGCATTCCTTTTTTTTTTTTTTTTTTTTTTTCAATTGATTTCAGAGTGGAAGGGAGAGGGAAAGAAAGATAAAAACATCAAGGATGAAAATCATTGATCAGCTGCCTCCTGCACACCCCACACTGGGGGTGGAGCCTGCAAGCTGGGCTGACCAGGAATCAGACCGTAACCTCCTGGTTCGTAGGTCGATGCTCAACCACTGAGCAACACCAGCTGGGCTAGAACGCATTCTTTTTTTTTCTTTTATTGATTAATTTTTTTTTTTTTTTTTCTACATCAATTTTATTTTTTTTTTTTTGAGCATTTAGTATGTTTTATTTATT